GTCTTTCATCACAGGCATAGTTTACAAATATTTTATCCCACTCTGTAGGTCATCTTTTTACTCTACTGATTATTTCTTTGGCTGTACATAAACTTTTTAGTTTAATTAAGTCCTATTTATCTCCTTTGTTTTTGTTGCATTTGCTTTTGGGGTCTTAGTCATAAATTCTTTGTGTAGGCCAATGTCCAGAAGAGTTTTCCCTAGGTTTTCTTCTAGGACCTTTATAGTTTCAGGTCTTACATTTAAGTCTTCAAATGATCTTGCATTAATTTTTGTAAATAGTGAGAGATAAGGGTCCAATTTTATTCTTCTCTATGTGGCTAGGCAATTTTCCCAACACGACTTATTGAATAGAGTGTTCTCTCTTTAGTGTTTATTGTTGTTGATTTTGTAGAAAACCAGATGGCTATAGGTATGCAGCCTTATTTCTAGGTTCTCTATTTTGTCCCATTGATCTATGTGTCTATTTTTGTACAAGTACTATGCTGTTTTAGTTACTGTAGCCATGTATAATTTGAAATTAGGAAATTTGATGCCTCTGGCTTTGTTAATTTTACTTAAGGTTGCTTTGGCTATTCAGTCTGTTTTTTGGTTCTATGTAAACATTAGGATTGCTATTTCTAATTCTCTGAAGGGTGACTTTCATACTTTTATCAGAATTGTATTGAATATATATATTGCTTTGGACAGTATGGCCATTTTTTTAAATTTGAGACAGCATGTCTCTATATTGCCTAGGCTGGAATGCAGTGGCATGATCACAGCACACTGCAACTTTGACCTCTAGACTCAAGCAATCCTCCCTCTTCAGCCTCCTGAATAGCTGGGGATACAGGTGTATGCCACCATGTCTGGCTAATTTTTTTTTTCTTTTTTTTTTTTTTTTTTTTTTTTTTTTTTGTAAAGATGAGGTCTTGTTATGTTGACTAGGATGGTCTGGAACTTCTGGGTTCAAGTGATTCTCCTGCCTCAGCTTTCCAAAGTGCTGGGATTATTGGCATGAATAACTGTGCCTGGGCTGGTATGGTCATTTTAATGATACTGATTCTTCCAATTTATGAGCATGAGATGTTTCTCCATTTATCCATTTAATTTAGTTTCTTTCATTCGTATTTTATATTTCTCCTTTGTAGAACTGTTTCACATTCTTGGTTAAATGTATTTGTAGGTATTTTACTGTTTGTGGCTATTGTTAATAAGATTGTTAATGAGAACCTTCATTTGGTTTTCAGTTAGAATGTCACTGTTGTATAGAAAAGCTATGATTTTTTTATGTTGATTTTGTCTTTTGAAACTTTACTTAATTTGTTTATCAAGTCTAGGAGCCTTTTGGAGGAGTCTTCTGGGTTTTCTCAGTATCATATCATATAATCAATGAACAGAGATAATTTGAGTTCCTCTTTTCCAATTTGGATATCTTTTATTTCTGTCTCTTGCTTGATTGCTCTGGCTAGAACTTTCTGATACTTTGTTAACCAGGAGTGGTGAAAGTGGACATCCTTGATCTGTTTCAGTTTTTGAAAGGAATGCTTTCAACTTTCCCACATTTGGTTTAATGTTGGCTGTGGGTTTGTCATATATGGTCCTTATTATTTTGAGTGTGTTCCTTCTATGCCTATTATATGGAGGGTTTTTATCAAGTGATGTTGAATTGTCTCAAATGCTTTTTCTGCATCTATTGAGATGATCACATATTTTTTAATAATTTTGTTTATGTGGTGATTTACATTTATTGATTGGTAAATGTTGATCCATCATTTCATCCCTAGAATAAAATCCACTTGATTATGATTAACTATTTTTTACATGTGCTGTTGGATTTGGTTTGGTAAAATTTTGTTGAGAATTTTTGTATCTACATCTATGTTCATCAGGGATACTGGCTGGCAATTTTAATTTTTGGTTGTGTCATTTCCTGATTTTTTTCTCAGGATGATACTGGTTTTGTAGAATTAATTAGGAAGGATTCCTAGCTTCTCAATGTTTTGGAACAGTTTTAGTAAGATTGGCACCAGCTCTTCTTTGCATGTCTGGAAAATTTTGTTTATATGCCTATGTGGTCATGGCTTTTTTTGATGGAATGTATTTTATTACTGGCTCAGTTTCACTGCTCCTTTGGTATGTTTGTGATTTCTGTTTCATCCCGGTTCAGTGTTGGGAAGCCTTATGTTTCCAGAAATTTATCCATCATTTAGTTTTTCTAGTTTGTATGTATATACATGTTCATATTGATCACTGATTATCTTTTATGTTTCTGTGGTATCCATTGAAATGTGTACTCCTTTTCATTTCTGATTGTGCTTAGTAGAATCTCCTCTCGTTTCTTCTTGGTTAAACCATCTAGTGTTCTATCAACTTTATTATTTCAAAGAACCAGCTTCTCGTTTTGTTGCTCCTTTGTATCTTTTTTTAATCTCAATCTCATTTAGTTCAGCTAAATGAAATTTAGTTAGTTTTTGTCTTCTGCTGGCTTTGGATTTGGCTTTTCTTGTTATTCTAGTTTCACATAGTGTGACAATAGGTCATTGATTTGAGATCTTTCTATGTTTTTGATTTAGGAATTTAACACTAAAACCTTTCCTCTTAGCACTACTTTGGCTGTATCTCAGAGGTTTTGCTATGCTGTGTCTCTATTTTCATTCATTTCAATATTTTTATGCCTGCCTTGATTTTGTTGTTTACTCAAAAGTCATTTATGAGCAACTTGTTTCATTTTTATGTACTTGTGTAGCTTTGAGAGTTCCCATTGGTATTGATTTCTAATTTTATTCTGCTGTGGTCCAGTAGGATACTTGATGTGATTTTGATTTTTTTGAGTTTATTGAAATTAGCCTTATGGTCAGTTTTGGAGAGTGTTACCTGTGCAGATGAGAAAAATGTATATTCTGTAGTTGTTAGTTAGAACATTCTGTAAACGTCCATTTGGCCTAGAGTCCAGTTTAAGTCCAGCGTTTCTTTTGCCTTGATGACCTGTCTAGTGTTCTCACTTGGTGTTGAAGTCTCTCACTATTATTGTATTGCCATCAATCTCTTTTCTTAGGTTTGTTATAATTTGTTTTTGAATCTGATGGCTCTGGTGTTGCATGCATAAATATTTTGGTTTATTTGAGCCCTTATCATTATATAATGCCCTTCTTTGCCTTTTCTTACTGTTGCTGGTTTAAAATCTGTTTTATCTGATATGAGAATTGCTACTCCTGATCTGTTATGTTTTTTTATTTGCATGCTCTACCTTTTTTCATCCCTTGACTTTAAGTCTGTAGTTGTGCTTAGTTATTCTGTGGATCTCTTTTTGACGCAGGTGGTTGGTTTTTGTCTGTTACCCAACTTGCTGGTCTGTATATTTTGGATAGAGCATTTATGACATTTATGTTCAAGGTTATATTGATATTTGAAGTTTTAATCCTGTCATAATATTGATAGCTAGTTGTGTTGGATTCTCACTTGTATGATTGTTTTATAGGACCTTTAAGTTTTTTACTTATGCAGGCATTTAGGATGGTAAGTGTCATACGTTTGTTTCCATGTTTAGAACTCCTTTGAGCATTTCTTGTGGGGCCTGTTTAGTGGTGATAAATTCCTCTAGTGTTTTCTTTTCTGTGAATGACTTCATGTCTTCTTCATTTATCAAGTTTATTTTGGCTGGATATAAAATTCTTAGCTGGCATTTTTTAAGGAAGCTAAAATTAGGTCCCTATTCTCTTCTGACTTGTTAAAATTTCTGCTGAGATGTCCACTGTCAGTTTGATGAGATTTCCTTTATTGGTGATTTGATGCTTTTCTCTAGCTTCTTTTATGACTTATTCTTTCACACTGAACTTGGATTGTCTGCTGGCTATATTCTTAGGTGATGTTTGCATTCTATAGTGTCTCCTAGATGTTCTCTGAATTGTTTATATCTGGATATCTTTGTCTTTAAGAAAATTGGGGATATTTTCCTGAATTAGTTCCTCAATTATGCTTTCTAAACTTCTTCTTTCTGCCTATAAGTTGTAAATTTGACCACTTTACATTATCCCATATTTCTCAAAGATTTTGTTCATTTTTTAAAAAATTATTTCTTCTTTATTTTTTATCTGACTGATTTAATTCAAAAGACCAGCCATCAAGCTCAAAATTATTTCTTATGCATGGTCTAGTACGTTATTACAGTTTTCAACTGTGCTTTGAAATTTCTTTAGTCTTTTTTTCACTTCCAGAATTAAAAAAAATATATTTATTTATCTTTTATCTCCTTAACTGTTTTCTGATTTTTTCGTGTTTGTTTGTTTTTGACTTTCTTTTGAATTTCATTGAGCTTCCTTGCAATTCACATTTCAAATGTTTTATCTGTCATTTCAAAATTATCATTTGATTAGGATTCATTGCTAGGGAGCTACTGGGGTTCTTTGGGGATATTACAACATTATTTTTCTTTATAGTCCAGAAGTTATTATGCTGGTTCCTTCTTATCTGTAGAAGCTGTCACATATTACTTTTGAATTTATTTTCATTTGGACATGGTTCACCTCCTGCCACTGCTCTTGTTGGGGGGTATGACTGTAGAGTAGTTTGGGAAATAGCCAAAAATCTTTTGGCTTTGCTTCTATGGGCCTATGCACTTCTTAGTCAGGTTTTATGTTGGGTTTTGCAGTTCAGTCTACAGGGCAATAGGTGGCAATTACCAGTATAAGCCAGCTGTGGCAAAAGCAGATCTATATGCACTTGATATTTGTTTATTGTATGGTACTGTCTGTTGTTTCAGATGATGGGCTGGACAGTGGAATGCCAGTTTCCCTGAACTTCTTGTCCCATGAAGGGTGAGGGGAAACAAATCTAGGCAGAGCTGGACTGCCTGGCTTGCCCACAAATACCCCAGTGATGAGCTGGGGAACCAGCCCTGACAGGCATGGTTTGGGGAATAACTGCTGAATGGTGCCAAGGTCTCAGCAGAGGGTAGGGAGACTAGCTCCACATCCTAGACAGGTAGGAATATGTTCTATTTACCTATCACACCCCTGACTCAGAGCTTGTGACTCTTGGTTCAGATGCATACCTGTTGTCTATCTCCAGACCACAGTATAGCTGATAGCCACGGAAGATACTTGTCTTGCAATTCTCTATGGGAGTGGTTTCTGGGTGGAACCTCCTGATTCAGTCCAATTCACACAGCTTTGTGACTCACCTGTTTGCCATTGGGTAATGCTACTGCTTTCTGTAGATAGGAGATAGAGGGGCTCTACTTTTTAGCACACACAGTTGGGTATTAGCTGCGGTGGTGTCATGTGGTTGGATCCATCTGAGCTCAGACCACAGATTGGGGCATGTTCATGTGCCAGCAGTGGTAGATAGGACTAGGCAGACTTCCAGTTCTTTATTCCCCAGATTGCCCAATAGTATTAGTCCTGTAGAGAGTGGACCAGGACCAGGCCAGTGGACTTGTTAAGTCCCTAGAATTCTGCTGCTGGCTATGATAGGGAGTAATGGGCTGGTTCTTGGAGTCACAGGCAGAACTCTCAAGCAGAGTACTCAGGCAGTGGGAGTCCTAGGGTACATCATGGGTCTATTGGGGCTGGGATCTCAGAAGGGCCTACAAAATGCTTAGGCAGTTGCAGGATGCTCAGGCAGTTGGTGCATCAGTGCATATCGTAGACCTGTGGGGGCTAGGCTCTCAGGAGTGCCCACAGAATGCTCAGAATATTGCAAAACACTCAGGTGCTTGGGTCCATATGGCTGATCACAGGCCTGTGGGAGCTAGTCTCCAAATGGGCCTACAGGATGCTCAGATTGTGGCAGAACGCTCTGGTGGTATGATTCCTATGGCTGATCACATGCCTTGGGCTCTAGGCTTTCAGAAAGACCTGCAGAATGCTTATGCAGTCAAAGTCCCAAGGCCCATCACAGCCCTATGGGGGCTGGGCTCTCAGAAGGCCTCCAGGTAACAGGTGAAATAGTCAGTTGGGAGCAGGGCAACTGAGTTGCTAGCCTTTCACTGTGGAAGGCAGATCCCTTCAGCTGAAGCAGTGCAGGTTGGCAGCTGTGGGGTGCTTGGCCCAACTGCACTTCCCTCCTGAATGAGCAGCAGTGGATTTTACTTTGAGAAGCACACAAAGGTGCCTAGTTTCCCCACTCTCTCCTTGGCCCAGAAGTGGCAAGTATGATGCTGGTGTTGGGTGTAACTGCTGAGGCAGCTGAAGAGTGGATCACCAGTCTCTGGGAGCTGGGCTCTAAGAACACCAGGCTGTGGCCAGTATGTACATATGGGGCAGGGCAGCTGTGCTGTAGACCCAACATTGAAGAAAGGAGGCCTTCTTCCTCAGCAGGGAACAGCTGAGACCGGCAGTCATTGCAATGTGCATTCTGTTTCCTCCTCTATACTGCAGTTGCAGTATCTGTCTTTGAGGTGTGCACAAGTAGGCCTACCTGCTGCCTGCCTGGTGGGGTGGCAGCAGCCAGTGCCAGGCTACTCAGGGATCAAAAGTCCATGGAATCCCACATGGGCTTGAGAGTACCTCTACACAGACTCTAGGCAGCTCCATGTATTAAACTGGAGGCCTAGGGGATTCAAGGGGGCTTACTTATGAATTAGCATTGTTAGTCTGTGGCAGAATTGTGGAATCCTGGGGGTCTCACTCAATTTTCCCTTCCCTGCATCAAAGATCTCCTGGCTCTACACCAGTCTCAGTTCACCTGGTGGCATGGCTTCATTCTCTACTTTCTGTGATTCCCAGTTCCATCACTTTTCTGATGAATTCCAGTGTGGCCTCCTAGACAATCTACTTGAGGTGTCAATATTTACTTGCTATTTTGATTCCTCACTATGAGATATTCACCCACTAGCTGTTTCTAGTAAGCCATATTGAACCAGAAGTCGTGTTTACATATTTAACTAAATAAAAATTATTTGAAAGTAATTCCTCATATATTTTTCCCAACTGTGGGACTGTAAACTTTATAAAAAGTAGGTTTCAAAAAAAGTGGCTTTTTTATATATTATTAGACATTTTCTATGCCTTTTAAAAGCATAGATTTTAGCAAGATTGTTAGACAAGACCAAATTTTTTAATATTTTGATATAAGCCTAAACAGTACGTTTAATGTATATTTTTACGTGTAAACAATATCTTAGATGAAATATGTACTTCTTAAAAATAGTCTATTGATTTTGAAAGCCTTGAGAATTTTAGTTATTTCTGCATGGTAACATTGTGCTGTATTTGCATGGTTATATTAACAATGAGCATTCAAAAACTTATATTCAAAATTGAGCATTCCTTATGAATTCAACTTGTGGCATCACAGCTCTGTTTCTTGGCCTTATTAAATTTTGAGCATTATCTCTCAAAATTTTAGAATTTGGTTAACAGTTATCTGATACTTGTTGAAATTTATTTTATGAAATTGTTAGACTTCTATTAGGAACTGTGAATATTATGTCCTGCTTTCTTTTACAGAGTATAATAATTGTTTAAAGTATTAATATGTTTTGTATTATATGGTTGCCTCTTCTAGAAATTATATAAAAGAGAAGTTCAGCCTCCTTTCAAACCTGCTTCTGGAAAACCAGATGATACTTTTTGTTTTGATCCTGAATTTACCGCAAAAACACCTAAAGGTAATGCATGTTTATCTGTAAAATCAGGGATTTTATTTTAATAGATAGTTTACAAATAAACTGTCTTCTGAAGTAAAAGTTGAAAGAATGGTAAATTTGCAGAGGGTTGGTTTTCCCATGGGAAATATGGATCCTATACACAGCGTTGCTTGGGTAGCTGTCAAGTAGAGGTTCTAAATGGGAAATATTTATCAGGAAGGCATGAACTAGGTCAAAGAGTAGCAAGGTTTTTGTTTGTTTTGTAAGTCCTTTGACATACTAATGATTTACAGGATAGGGTAGGAGGTAAGACATGAGATATATTACTCTCTTACAGTTTCATACATATGTTTAAGAAATACTGAATGCCTATTATGTACTAAGCAATGAGGATGCAGCAGTGAAAAGAACAGACAAAAAGTACTGACTAAAAATGGAGCATGTATACAGAAAGAAAACAGATAATATATAATAAATATATAATATGTTAGATAGCAACATACAATGGTTTCCTTTATAAAGAAATTCTGACACTTTATATTGTAGAATGCTGTGTGTAGTTATAATTAAATATAATTATTTGGACATTAGATTCTCCTGGTTTGCCAGCCAGTGCAAATGCTCATCAGCTCTTCAAAGGATTCAGTTTTGTTGCAACTTCTATTGCAGAAGAATATAAAATCACTCCTATCACAAGTGCAAATGTATTACCAATTGTTCAGGTAAATTCCATTTAATCACATTATTCAGTTTGTCATAATTATTTCTCTGTTATTGCTGATCTATTTTTAATATTTTTAAAAAGTGATTTTTAACTACTTTATCTCTTGGTATAAATCATGAATTAAATATGGTCCTGTATGTTTTGGAAAAGAGCAGACAGTAGTAACTTTTAATTATGTTTATGTGGCCTCTTTTAAATCAAATATAAGGGTGATGTGTAAGCCAGTTGATTTATTATATTGGCTGTAAGTATCAAGAAAAGATTGGTTCAGAATCTATTTAAGCCATTTATAAGTGTTGAAAAAATTTCTGTAGAATGAATTACTCTAGCTTTTTTAAGATCAAAAGACAGAAAATGTGAAAATATTTCATTTTCCTTAGTATTTTACTTTTTAAAAATAAACAGATAAATGGAAACGCTGCACAATTTGGTGAAGTATATGAATTGAAAGAGGATATTGGTGTTGGCTCCTATTCTGTTTGCAAACGATGCGTACATGCAACTACTAACATGGAATTTGCAGTAAAGGTATTGTCTCTGAGCCTATCTTTCTCATTTGTTTTATGTATGTAATTTAAATTATGAGTCAACTGACATTTTCAGTGGAGTAAATAAAGTTAGGAAAGATAAGATGATAAGAAAGAACTCTGAGATTTAATATTTTAATCATTTTGAATTTCTTTTCAAGGCTTTATTTTGTAAGAACAGTGCATTTTATGAATTTTTGTATTTGAATAATTTCATTATAATGTATTATGTTAAGACTGAGTAATTGCAACAATTACAATCACATCATCATTAGTATAGTTTCAGTGAAATAGCATATGATGGTAAAGTGTTCTTTTTTTCTGTTAAGTTTTACTTATAAGAAGTTTTTAAATGTTAAAATAATATGAGGTAAGCATTGTTCTTGTGTTTTTAAGTGTTTCTTCAAAAATATAACCAAACTGAAAATATCCATTTTTAGAAAAAGTAATTTGTTTGCCTCAGATATTTTTCTTTTTTCTTATTTCTTAGATCATTGACAAAAGTAAGCGAGATCCTTCAGAAGAGATTGAAATATTGATGCGCTATGGACAACACCCCAACATT